AATTTTGGCATAATCTTGCACCTAAGTGTCTGATATTCAAATTTCGCTTTCTGGGTCGAAACTACTCGAATTTCCTCACTCACGTTGTTACGACTAAATCGAGTTTTCAGTTCTCTATCCAACGATGCCAAAACGAATTCTCTGGCTCTAATGGTTCGTGAGAAACTTCAAAAAAAGGAGCGTCATGATCAAGTGGATTTTGCAACTCAAAAAAAACCTCGCAAATCTAAAACTTCCTGAATTCAATCCTTTTTTGAGAAAACTGCCAACATTTACCCATCCATGGTTCACTTTCTAAAAAGGCCATTTATTTCTGTCTAGAATGATGTACAAATCAGCGTTCTTGCTCATTTTGCCTCCGAGAAATGAGCAAAAACGGGACGGAAAACATGAAATTTTAGCATAATTTTGCACCTAAGTGTGTGATAGTCAAATTTCGCTTTCTGGGTCAAAACTACTCAAATTTACTCACTCACGTTGTTACGACAGAATCGACTTTTCAATTCTCTATCCAACGATGCCAAAACGAATTCTGTGGCTCGAATGGTTCTTGAGAAATTTCGAAAAAAGCAGCGTCATTTTTGAGGGGATTTTGCAACGCAAAAAAACACGCAAATTTCAAACTTCTTGAATGCAAGCATTTTTTGAGAAAACTGCAACATTTCCTTATCGACCGTTCACTTTCGAAAAAGGCCATTTAGTTCTCTTTGGAATGATGTAAAAACGAGCGTTCTTGTTCATTTTGTTTCCGAGAAACATGTCAATATCATCACATATCAATAAGAATAATGAAAATTCAATCAAAATGTGCATGAATTTATTTTCAACAACCGCAAACTGAATTTTGAGTTACAAAATGTACTGAAAAGTAACTAACTGATTAACGTAATTTCTTTACTGAGAATATTTTGCTTGACAAATCGTCTATTCGACAATCGCAAAATCGGTCTTCATCAATTTCCTCTTCATAACATTTTTTCGTCAGCAGGTTGCGCGCTTTTTGAGCTTTTTTACGCGTTTTATTCCCTTACTGTTGCCGCTATCCAATTTCAGTCTGGAACAGTTTTTACAGCTAATTCTTTGGGTTTTTTGCTAGTTTTAGGAGTTTTGAAATATCTGCAGATTTAACGAAGTTACGGGCAAGACGGGGACGGTTCCATTCGAACGGTTGCCAACATTCAGGGTCAATTTCTAAAAAAATGCGCTTTTTGTATATTTATTTTAGACTGTTATGCTGTTTAAGATTGCTTGAATTTTCAGGATTCTCTACAAAATATCCGATTCCCCGACTAGCTTAATCTGTTTGAAATGCTCTTTTGTTGTCTTTTAAAATCCGCTCTCTTCTTGGTTGCTTTTCAGTTAAAAAATGTACAAATTTCGACCCTTTTCTTTAAAACATCGCTCTGTTTACCTCTTTGTCTACTGCTCTTTATTTGTTTTTTAAATTTCTTCGATTTCCTAATTTTTTCCAGTTAAAAATGTTTGAAACTGCAGATTGTTTTTGAAAATGTCAAATTCACGCTCTGTTTTTATAGTTTTTTAATTGTCTTTACTCTTAGACCGTTTTGCTGTTTAAAATTGTTTGAACTCCCCTGCTAGCTTACTCTGTTTCAAATGCTCCTTTGTTGTATGTTCAAAATCCATTGGCTTCCCAGGGGGGTGTTTCAGTGGAAACTTATACGAATTTCAGCGTTTTCCTTTAAAATCTCGCTCTGTTCATATTTTTTTGTCAACTCTTCATTACTTGTTTTTTTAATATCTTGCATTTCCTAAGTGTTTTTCAGTTTAAAATGTTTGTCTGATTAATTTATCGGAATCTTAAGCAAAATTTCCTTTCTGCAAAATGCAATCGATGTAAAGCGAAATTATGCAACAAAACAAGTACGTCGAACTTTAAACGGCACATTCGGAGAATTTTGGCGCAGAAACAGTGCAGTGTTTTTAGCGGTTATTGATACTTAAATAGGTTTATTTATTAAAAAAATTATGAATTATAAATGTAATAAAATTGTTTCTGCAAATGACGCACAATTGCTCATCACTTCTTAAAGTCGCTCTCAATTTCAGCGTTTAAAATCAAGTTGGAAAGCGCAAAAAATCCATCAAATACCTCCATATGCACTTTTCGTTCAGGCTTTAAATTTGACTGACAATTTTTCCATTTTCCCGACAATTTTCTACCGCCGATTCCGAAATCGAATTTCGGGTCAAGGCCTGAACGACGTTCAGTTAATCATGGGGACATTCATAAATTAGTAACAGGGGCAATATAGACTTTAACGATGCAGCAAACACCGAGGGACAAAATGGGTCAATTTCATTAATTTTAGATAGCACGAAAATCCAGGTTGGAAAGCCAATAAATAATATTTTTCCCGTTCAGCTCGACTCGTTAGTAGAGGTGGGATAAACGGTTATTTTTCTGT